TGCTAATGCTTGAGGAGGTTTCGTGAGGAGGTGTTTTATGCCTGTCCTTGGCACGGCGAGGCAGGGTCCCATTCCTTGCCAGATGTGATGGTTTTTAGTGGTTCCTGCCAGGCTGTGCACCCCTCCCTCACCCTCCTGCTCCATCCATCTCATCCTGCTCTGTCTGAAATTCAATTGACCTTTTGTTCCACCTCACAGTGAATGGGCACAGGCCAGCTCCACCAATAGCCAACCCAGAGCTCTCATACCTCTTTATTTGATCTGTCCTGCCGAGTCCAGTGCTTTCATTACCTACCCAAACACCCACTGCGCACCCTCCTCTCCTCCACTCCTCTACAGCTACGTCCTCTTTTATCTCTGGTCATGTCTCTTTGCTGGAGGGGGACAAGTGCATTTCAGGCAGTGGAGGTGATATATTTTACAATCAGGAGAAAACTCTTTTTTCTCCTCCTCCTCCTCCTCCTCCTCCTCCTTCTCATGTTCTTGATCGTTATGGTGATTGGCTTTTATTTGTGCCTGCTCGGCTTGTTTTAAACACAGCACTTTTTCTCCTCTCCTCTGCCTCAGAGGACTTTTTTCCTGACTTTGCAAAAGTGCTGAGGTAGCCTTCCTGTCGCTCAGGGCAGAAGAGCTCTGAATTGCTGCGCTGTGATGGGGCCTGTCGACGACCGTGACCTGCCAATCATTTTGATCTTTGGGGATTGACAAATTGATCCCAACGGCCTCGTTCCAGCTTCTAATTACATCTTAAGTCCAACAAGCATTATTGTCTCAACTTTCCTTCATCTGACATCTCTTCCCCTTCATCTGGATTCTGCTTTAATTCCCCGGTTGCCTCTCTCATCATCTCATGCTTCTGCACCTTGCCCTCGCCCCAGCATCAAAGTCATTAAATCTTTTCTGTCCCCTCTCCACCCCCACATGCTCCGTCTCTTTTCTTCTTCAGCTCTAACCTCAGTACAGGTCTGCTGCACTGTGATACATACTAAAGACCAACTTCAGCAGCTACAGCACCTCATGTGTGACCACTACCAATCAGAGCTCGCTGTTGTACAATGTGTGCTTTGCTGACTGTTGGACTTGGCATCCGTGTGATTGGGCTTTTTTGGAAGTGTGTGTGTGTGTGTGTGTGTGTGTGTTAGTCCTGCTCTCTCAGCAGTACAAAACAGTAGCAATCTTGTATAAATAAGACGAGGAGGGGACTGTGAATTCCTGATAATGTCCTGTAGGGTGTAGTCTAAAATGACATTTATTTTTTCATTTCTTACTTCTGTATTACATTGAAAATATAATTACAGTGTATATTCTTAAAGAATGGAAAAACAAGATTGTCAAAAATGTTTTGCCTTTGGGCTTTTGCAGAGTTTAAAGGCACCACTTTGAGAAAGTTTTTGACCACTAGAAGTGTAAGGGTCCCTTTATTGCTTTCGCATTGATTCACATGCACCAAGCCCCCAGGAAGAGTGCCAGGCTCTGCAGCTATTTTGCAGTGGTTGTAACAGTTGAACTTGCAAGTCACGTGATGCACAGGGGACCAGAAACACTTAGCCTGTTAACACGTGGTATTAAATGTGCTTTGGTGTTCCAAATACAAGTGGACAGCTGAGATACATTGCTCCTCACACTATCTATCATGCATCTCTAGCTGACCATTCATGTTCTGATTTCATTGATGCCTAAGTCACTTCCTCTCGAAGGTCAAAGGCCTTGCACACAGGTATTACATCCAATCTGTCGCTAGCTGCTTGCTAGTCATGTTAGCAGTTGTGTTAGTATAGTTGGAGATATGGGTGTTGGCAAAATTCCACACTCTTCTTCCACAGGGCAAAACGATGGATGGTCGCGTGCACTTTGTTGTAAAATGTAAAAGTTATAGAGCGTTAGTATGCTGTCACCAAAACCACCACCACATCCTGCATTGATGACTTAATTTACATTAGGACCTGGTCGGGGATGCATCAGCACACTTTAGCATTTACATAACAAAAGATATATGTGGTCAAATGTGTCCTAGACCACCTTGGCAAGTGGTTTCAGCGATCGGATCTAATGTGTCTTGGTGGTCGTTAACACTTTTATTTAGAGCTGTCCACTTGTGAACAGATCCTCCAAGATGCATGTAAACACCAGGTATAAGCAGGGCCAATGTATCCCTTAACCAGTCATTACAAAATGATCTGCTCCTCCAACAAAATGTCAGAGTGGAGGAGCTGGACCCAAACGCAGGACACTGCAGGCAACAGGAACTTGAAGAAATAGCTCATATTAACAGTGCATGCAGGCAAGGTAAAGCTGATAATACCAGGACAAAACCAAGGATCCAATAAAGACTGAACTGAAAACCAAGGCTTAGATACAAACTATTCTGAAGATGGGATGAAGTGCAGGTGAAGAGATGGGCGGAGGAGCTCAGGTGGAGGAAATGAGGTGATTAAGCAGAAGAACATCAGGGAGCGGATAGGCTGGGAAAAACTCCGGGAGCAGGAAAGGACTAACAAGGCTGATTCAGGGTAGCTGTGTGGATGGGCGAAAGAGGGAAAGTCAGCACAGGAACACAGGAGGTAAAAAACACAGAAAACCATAAACCAAGAAAACACAATCCTCTTAATAATAAACCCAGCGGGGTGAACACAATGACTCTGTCCAGTCTCATGACAAATTTGTGTCACCAAAATTTGAGCCATTAGGACCAATAAAAACTAATATGTTTCAAAAAAGAGAAGTAATATCCTTCATGTGTGCAGAAGAGTTTTTAATCTATAAACAGTCTTTCTCAATAAAATTAGCACATATATGTGGGTTTTTCAAACATTGGAAAACCTGTTAAAATAGGCGATAGACTGTTTTTCCACTGCCAGTAAATTAGATCTGTGTACACCTCTCTGCCACAGATGAGTATCCTTTTCATCTGGTGTGTCGATTCGATGTCACGGACAGGCTGGAAAAAAGGGTTAGTAGTAGCATGAAAACCAGTGATTTGATGGTTATCTCTTTTTTTTATATCTGTAGCTTACTCAATCTCTCTGTCAAACTTGGTGCCAACTGGATTTTGAATGATGTTTGAGTGCTGCTTGGACGGAGATGGAAGTATTTTATGGCGGTGCATTATTCTATTTTGCTGGAAAAGAGGCTAGAATTAGCACATCCACCCGTGTGCCGTATTTCCATCACTGTCGATCAAAGGTGATCGGAGCTGGAGCTGATAAATACACATGGCTACTGCAGAGTCACAGCAGGGTGTGAACACTGATTGTAACCTTTCCCATTAAATGCAAAAGCCGGATGTTAGCGGGTGTTGTCCAGGTTAGGATGGCAGTGGGGTTTCTCTCCAGTGGGAAAGGGGCTATACAGTTTTTCACTGAAGAACTTTTACATTGTATGCAGTGTGCAAGTTTCATTAGAATGAATAGGGTACCACTGTGGAGAATGGTATACATCTATGATATACACAAAATGAGTAAGGGTGCGATAGACTACCTATCTGTGCTGACTGCAGAGGGCGGTGATACATATTGACAGCGCAATGCCACAATAAAAGTAGTGAAGAAGAAGCCTGCAAGCTGTTAACAATACATGCGTTTAAAAAAGTGATAAGATTGGATAAGCATTCAGAATATATTTGATCCCTTCATAGCAAAGTGCATTTTGGTGAGAAACAAAATGTAAACAAAACTGTTCCTCTCACTCGGAGGCACAGAAAGCATCCATCTTTAATGTGCAGGCTGTTGCATTGTTCTCCGTGGGGAGGGAGCAGGTCACCGTGGGACAGGCGGCTGAATAACTGGGGCTACAGGCCGCGTGCAGCTATTGTCATTCCATCATTAACAAAGAGAACATAGTGATGCTAAAACAGGCTGTAGCGCCATTGTGCTGACTCCATTTACCCCGCCAGACAAGGGCATGCGGTTCTTAAACACGCTGGCTGCCTTTTGTGTCAGGTCTGGTACAAGGCATGTTAAAAATCTGTAATTATCATAATCAGCTTGTGTGACCTTAAGGGATTAAATGCAATATTGGAGTTGTTGTATAAACCATTGCAACACTCAAGTATGATTCACTGATTTATGCACATTTGCAAGTGTAAAATGTGATTTGTCTCCAAACTTGTGAGTCTTTGTGACACTGAATTTTTGCAGCCCAGGTTGCTGTTGCAGTGTAAGGGTTCAGGTTCTTACCAGCTCCCAGGAGAGGCAGGAGGGAGAGTGCCCACAGCCCACAGCCACATTTCCAGTGAGAGAGAGAGAGAGAAAGAGCCCAGATATTTTTACAAGCCTCCTAATGAGAGCTGTAAGAGAGCAGGACCCGTGTAACCGAGCGGCTTGTGAAAGTACAGAGGCACCACGGCGCCTTCAAATTTGATCAAGGTACAGAAATGAAAAGTGAGAGCCGAGAGAGGCGTGTGAGTGCATGTGAATCTCATATAGTCGGAGAGAAATGGAAGATTTTAAGAACAAGGACCATTTGCGAGAGACAGGAAGAGGGATGAGTTGAGAGAATTAAGGGGTTCAACCTTTAGTTTGGCCTTTGTGTTGGCATTCGCTGTTGTTTCAAGATGATTATGGATTGTGTGCACAAGTCCTCCAGTCCTCAACCCACTATAATTCACTTTTGAGTGTGTGCTTCTCTGAGTAACCCCTCGACATTCCTCGTGAAGCGCTGTGATAAAGGGGAGGCCGCAGCTGTGTGCAAGCCCAAGAGACAACGATACTCAAATATGTGCACACAACTGTTAAGATCGAGACTCATTTGCATCTGCAGTGTGCATTGAAGCTGCAGCATGTCCAAGTTTATGTCACAGCCTCAGCTTTAATGGGCTATCCATGTATTATTGACCTTTAGATCACCTTCCAGGGATGAGCAGTGTGTTTTTAATTGACAGAATGAGCCATATGGTTGGGAGGAAGGACCTCATGGGGTTAATTCAAGTTAAAAACAAGTACACATAAGCATGTCACAGAAGACACCGTGACCTTACGCCATATGTTATTGTGTGTCCGCAGGTTCCTCTTATTACGACAACGTGAGGCCGCTGGCGTATCCTGACTCAGATGCAGTTCTCGTCTGTTTCGACATTAGCCGCCCGGAGACTTTGGACAGTGTCATAAAGAAGGTCAGTGTTTTTTTTTTTTAAATTTCATCTCCTCCTCTCAACACTTGGGATCAGCATTTAATATCTGCCGTGACACTGGAGAACTAACCGGAAAAAATTTCACTTTCTCCTGATCAGCATCGTGTACCCGCTCAGATTTCTGTGCCAGCAGCTTGCATTTTCATGGCTCAACAATAGAGCAAATCAGCACAGAGGTTAAAGCCTCCCGTTCCTTTATCTCATCAAAACGTCCACGGATACTTGACCCTCGTCCCTCTAAGGAATGGAAGGTCAGAGTGAAGAATGAGAGGAGAGGCTTTGCACCCGGGTGGGTTCAAGAGGAATATCAGATACGCAAATTAGCTACATCAGCCATATCAAAGAGGAGCTGTTGTGGAGCCTGTTTAGGAGCACGAGAATTGCCCTTCTGTAGGCATTTAAAATTTAAAATCTGAGTTTTATGCAGAACAGTTAACCAGATGGTGGCACTTAGCATTTGTAAGGTGGCTTATGGTTCAGATGCTGTGATACTGGAGTTGAGATTGGGGTGGCGGTTAAAGTATGATACTGGCAGGGCAGGGTTGTGGTCGTGGACGTGTTTTTACAGCCGGTGGCAATACCTATTGTATGTGCAGAGACACCCAACTTAATGGGTTTGTTTGCGTGCATGTGTGTCATGTGAAATAAGCCCGTGCCTTTTAGTGGTCTCTCATCTTGAAGCCATGTGTGTGTGTTTGCCTTTGAACTGCGCTGCTTGTGGGCTGGAGACAGTTCCCACGGCTGGCCTGTTGACGTGTTTAGTGGTCTGAAGGGAGCTGCTAAAATGCCCCAGCAGACTTTGTAGATCTAACCCGAGACACCTTTTTTTTAACTCACAAATATCTCACAAGCCTCAGTGCACACTGTCAACAGGGGGAAGCAGAGCCACCGTCAAGCTTTTGGTTTTCCCATGAATCCCTTGGCAGGGGGTTTCCATGACCCCTGACCCCGAGCTGTCGCCCTGGTAATCTCTGAAACTGAGGGGCACATGGAAAACCTGTTGCACAATCACCATCCCAAATTAGACTCTTGACCTCTAAGAACAAGCAGGTCACCGAGGTTTGTGGATGACAGCTGGGGGAGGAGAGATGGTGAAACAATCAAAGCTTTTGATTGGGTGTTATTGGCAGAATAGGGGTGGGCTTTAAAAGGTCAAAGGTTGTTCTCAACGTGAAGGATCAATGGACACCCTGACATTCTGCACATGGCATGAGGAATATTTCAGGGCTGTCGGCTGCTGTCGTGCGTTTGTGTCCCAGGGAGGAGAGACTGTGTTGGTTCAGCTGAGTTTCAGAAGTGACATTTAATCTCAGGATGATTTCGGGAGGAAGACTGCTCAACCTTTTCTGTACAGAACCTGAAATAGATTTGTTGACGGGGGCTGAGTGAGCAAAGTAAAACACACATCAGGTGCTGCAGAAATCTGAATCAAGCTGGCATGATGATAGATTTTATTCTCACATGGTTCTTTGTGTAATTAAACTTTTTTGTACAGTGAAACAGTGCATGGGATTATTGAAAAATAAGATGAGCTTTTATCAACAATGTCTTAGAATTGAGAATTGAGATGATTTGACTATTAATCAAAAATTAATCAGCAAGTATTTTCAAGCAAATCTGCCAAAAATTCTTTTGAGCCAGCTTCTCTGTTGTTAGGATTTGTTGTCTTTCTTTCTCTTTTTTGATAGCAAATTCAAAACCATTGGGTTGTGGAGTGTTGGTCAGACAAAAAGTAATGTAAAGTAGAGCTGCAACAATTAACTGATCAGTTGTTATTATCAAATCACTCCCCAACTAATTTGATAACCAATTAACCAGTTTGAGAAAAAAAGTAAAAATTTCTCTGATTCAAGCCTCTTAAAAATTCTTCTATGACAGTAAATGGAATATTTTTGGGTTGTGGACAAGATAAGACAGCTGACGATGTCATCTCGGGAAACACTGATTGACAATTTCACCATTTTCTGACATTTTATAGACCAAACAACAAATTGATTAATCAAGAAAATAACTGACAGATTAATTGAAAATGAAAAGAATCTTTAGATCCAATCCCAATGTGAAGATGTCAGCTTTTTTTTCAGAAAGTACGATGTGCAATTTTCGATACTTTCTAACAATGCAATGACCAAAACAATTAACTGATTGAACACGAGAATACCTGTCAGAATAATCTAATCTAATGTCTGTTACTACACAGGGGATTTTTATAGAGCTGCAACTTTTTTTTTACATTAATGTCTTAATTATTTAATTAATTGCCTGATTTGTTGTTGAGTCTCTAAAATGACAAAACATGGTGAAAATGCCTGTCACAACTTCTCAGAGCCTTAAATTATGTCTTCAAATTGTTTGTTTTGTCCAGTCAACACCCAAACACAGCATACTGTCCTCCGCTGTTGTGGGTTTTTCCTCCTTTGTTCTTAAAAAGAAAAAAAAACAAACATCCCGTCCACACAAGCACTGCTTCAAAACATTTTCAGTCCAAGTGAAAACACAAAAACACAACTGAAGCACTGTCAACAGCATGTCAAACCAACAGGCAGCAATATAAACATAACCCTGAAGGCTCTGATGAAGACGCATCTGATGTTGAAACATTAGACTATGAAGTTTGTTGCTTCTAGTCTGTGTGCTCGGGTATGCTTTAAATCTCACCTCTGAAGTCTCTGCGGATATAAGATCACCCTACTGTGAGAGCTCCAGACAGGCCTGCCATTCCTTGTGAGGAAAAAGGAAAAACAGCGCACACTCTGACGTCACAAGCCAAATACTCTGGTTTCCCTGTCTACACATCGACACTGAAAATGGAGTTTATGAAAATCTTATTAAGGCACAAAAGCTCAGTTTTCAATGACCTAAAACACATTTTATGAGTCAAAGTAAGGCCAAAGCAAACAGAATAAGCTATGTTTCAAAAAATACTCATGTACGTGTGGACGAGTCCTTAAACAATAAAATAATGAGAAAAATGTTTTTCTGAGAAGTGTTTTTTGTATTCCAAAATATGAGGAATTGACCTCATCAACCTATTTAATCTCAGTAATGCTGATATAAGTGGATTACAGATTGTAAAGCAAGTACACAGAGGACGTTTTAATTTCCCTTCGACATAAATGAAGAAATGTCTTTTATCAAGAGAGCATTAATCTCCCTCGAGCTCAGGTATCCAGTGTCAGAAGAGCCAAAGGTCGTCACTGTATCTCAGCAGCTCACCAGTCAGTACAGGTGGCTCTGCTCTCAGATTTGGCACAACCAGTGATGTATTTCTCTGTCTCTCTGTCGGCTCATATCTCAACAGTGGCAAGCGGAGACGCAGGAGTTTTGTCCCAACGCCAAAGTGGTGCTGGTTGGCTGTAAGCTGGACATGAGGACAGACGTCAGCACCCTGAGGGAGCTCTCCAAGCAGCGCCTCATCCCTGTCACCCACGAGCAGGTGAGAACAAGCAGATGATGGATATGTGGGGAGAAGGGGGTGGGATGAGTAATGAGAGAGGGACTTGGAAGGTGCCCTGGGGGAAAGAAAAAAAGACTGACTTGAAAACAACAACGGTTTATGGGAAAAGAAATTAGAAAGCAATCAAGGGATTTATACCATTTTTCCATCTTGGATCAGAAGTGGCATTGCTTCTATAGTGAGAGTGTGAGAGGGGGCTCAGGCAACACAATCAACCAATGCAGAGTAAGACCTGTGTGATATCCCTTGGGGACATGTTGCTGGGGTTGGCGTTTTGACCGAAATTTGCTGACAAGCAATGCGAGGTTGCTTATGGTGAGGGCCGCGGAAGAGGCACGGGCGGTTAGTGGAGTTTATGTCTAGGGACACATTTTTCCCTGAAATGAAATATTCATGCAGATTTAGGGATTTTCAAAATGCAGGATGAATAGAAAAACGGACATTGATAAATGAATGAGCCCTTTTCTCACATGCCGCCATGACCTCTAAGCCAAGGGGATGGGGTGAAGCGGGAGGGGATGATAAACTGTTCTGTAAATCTGTGAATTTTAATCAGCTTTCAGCGTGTTCATTTTGTGCTCTCCCGTGTTGGACATACAAAAAGTGGAGGGGCTTTTTCACCGCCACACAAAAGCCCTCAGAACAAAGGAGCCTTTTTTTCCACTGCTGTCTGAGAGCTCGCCGGAGGCTAATAGCATGCAGCCTCCGAAAAAATCAGCAACTGAAAACAACAGACAGTTCATGTAAATAAGATACATAAACAAAAGATGGAGTGGCAGACCACAGAGCTAATGTTAAATAGCTGGTGACCATTTGTGGCCAGGCCCGCATTATGCTATTGTTTTGCTCCGTCTCAGTCACTGTTTTCATCTGAGGCAACTACTGTTTGTCCCTCCAACATGCCCAGAAAATGTGTGTCACACAGCAGATGCCAACGCTGCACACAAAAACCATTTTGGTGTTCTAATCCAAAAGCCTGTGTTGTTATCCTGTTGTTGATCTTAAATTGAATTCCAACACAGCTGAGGAGTCGCCGGCGAGAGTGACCACTGGGTGAACTCCAGAAATTTCCCCACTAAACTGCCCGAGATCCGATCGAGCTTTTCCGCTTGTCACGACAATCTCTACCTCGGGCCCCCCTCCCGCCGCCGCCGCCGCCACCCCTGAATCTAAATCTGCTGTTCCACCTAATGAGGACTTCATTGCTTCTTATATGCGGCTCAGTGCACAGCCACGATAAAAATCAAACCACGTCCACTGGGGATGAAAAGCTCTCTGTGTTGGAGAGCATGCGATTTCAGGGTCATGGGAAATGCAGTCCTGTCTCATCTGTTACAACCTTTGCATGTCTCGATCCCGCGTTGTTGTTTAAAGTCTTGATCATGTAACAAGAGATGAGGCTGAACTGTAGCAAAGAGAGAGGCCGAGGGACTCGAAAATTAAATTTGCCTCTGATTTGATCTCAAGCAAACAATTTACGGTCTCAATTAACTGGGTATATTGTAACATTACTCAGGGGGTGAGCTCCAGTGCTGGAGGAGTTCTGTTAAGAGTTTAGTCTCTTCTCTCTAAATAGCTGCACAGACCATGTCAACACTGGCCCAGTGGGCCCTGTGCTGCTCTGCTCCCCCTCTCTTACCACAGACTGAGGAGTCAGAGCATCTACATTATTCATGCCTCAGATGGAGGGGCTTCATTTGTCTCCAGACATGTTTAGATCATTGACATTCAGTCAACGGTTTAGACAGACATCTTTTTCTTGCATCTGCTGCCTCTTTCAGGGACATTTAGTCTTCCACTGTTGAGATATAGCACCCGCATATGCCAAGGTACAATGACAGATGGGGTGTATGTCTTAAAATTTCATTTTCTTTGTGAAGCGCTCACACAGCACCTTGATGTGGAGTAAACCCCGTGTCTGGCACAACCTCTGAAAAGGAGCAAGACATTGCTGTGTCATGGTCAGGAGTTGTATTAGAAAAAAATGCAAAATGCAAAAAGAAAACCATTGAAAGGAGAAAAGATACACCAATAATGTTTTGTGAAGATGTCAAGTTATTCAAGCTGATGTTTTTTTTGTGGCACTGCTGATAAAATGTCACATTCAGTCTTACCCTTTGTCTTTAATGTTTCCTGTAAAAGCTTTTGTTTCATCTGTTTTGAAAAATGCCATATGCAAATACAAAGTTTTCCTCTTACCTGTCGTGCTATCTATCGATGTAGATTGTTCTGGTTTGAGTTTCCAAGTGTTGGAGATATCAGCCATAGAGATGTCTGCCTTCTCTGGAATACAGTGGAACTGAATGGCACTAAGCTGTGGTGCTCAATGTGCCAACCCCCCCCCTCCCCCTCAAAAAAAAACAGCAATGTCTCTTTCCAGAGATCATGGTTACTCAAGATAATCCACAGATCTTGTTGCGAGCAGTTTTATGTAGGAACTATTTTCTTTCTACCAAACTACACCACTCACCCAAATGTATCACTGCGCAGAGGAGTGCATCTACTGCTTGTGCTCCGCCAGTAGTAGATGTAATCTATAATGGCGTAACATTAACTATCTCAGTGGTGCTAGGTGAGCTAGCAGTAGAAGCATGCTTCCTTCTACCTGGTGATCAGTTGGCGGGTGTAGTTTGGTAGAAATTAAATAGTTTCCTTGATGATTATCTTGAGAGAATGCATCATGATTTTTGGAGAGAGACATTGCTGTTGAGGTTTCTTTTTTTTTTGGTGCTTTGAGCACCACAAGCTGAGTTCCATCTAGTTTCATTATATTCTGGAGAAGGCAGACATCTCTATAGCCGATATCTCCAACACTCAGCAACTCACACCAAAACAAGCTACACTGATAAACAGCACTACAGGTAAGAGGAAAAATATGTATTACCGATTTTGGGGTGAACTGTCCTTTAAAAGTTTGCTTGCTTGCTAATCGTCTCTCGCTCTGTCTGTCTCCGTGTTCCAGGGCAGCACAATAGCTCGACAGATGGGGGCAGTAGCCTATGTAGAGTGCACCTCCAAAGTTTCGGAGAACAGCGTTCGGGACGTGTTCCACATCACCACAGTGGCGTCGGTGCGGCGGCCACACAAGCCACAGCTAAAACGCAGCAGTTCCCGCAGAGGCCTGAAGCGAGTGTCACAGCTCCCCCTGCCACCCCTGCCGGGTCGGACTGAGCAAATGGACGAGGCCCCAGCCATGAGGAAGGACCGGGCCAAGAGCTGTGTGCTCATGTAGAGACCCATCACTATAAATATATATGTATATACATAAACACAGAAATATATAACAGAGGAAGTCTATTTATTGTTTTCGGTTGTTGTTTTTTTTTTTCGTATTTTGATTTTTTGCACTGCAGAAGAGTGAGGAAAAAAGAAACAGTGGAAGCTGTGGAAAGAAATGCTTTGGATTTTTCCTCTTTTTTTTTTGTTGCGTGTGTGCATATTTTCTGAGCTGTTTACATATTTGTGTTGTTTTGAAATGATGGCAAATTGGACTAACCCCTTGGACACGAGGAAGCTGTGATAGTGGAAATGCCGTCTAGTCCCGGGTATTAAAGAGGAATTAATTTCCTGAAACCACTCTAATAGGAGGATGGCACCGCGGCGAAGCGACAGTGAGGAGGGTGAAGTGCATGTGTGGAGGACCATGTTGAAGCAGGACGTCTGGGGATGAGACTTGTTTTTTTTCAAAGAGTGTTGCTCAGCGAACATGAGGACTAAATCTGTAGCTGCACTGTCTGAAGTTGCTTGCTGTTGCCATATTTGAGAGGAAATGTACAGTAATGCTGAAAAGGGATTCTAGTGATTAGATGAATGATGGCTCATACCAAACATTAGGAGCTGGAAATGAGATTCTGTAACACTGAAATATTGTGACGGTGTGTGTGTGAGCATTACTACCACAAGTGCATTTTTAGAAATCACAACATATCTGATTTTATTTTTGCTCATTTAACACTATTTTTCTCATCAACTCCAAATGTGTCAGTTTGACTCAAAGATGTTTCAGATGTTTTAAAGATGTTTCTTTGTGGAAAATAAAGTGGTAAAATGTTAGGGCTATTTTGTTTTCCTTTCACTGAAGTCTAGAATAAATCTAAAGCTTGGCTGTACAGGGAAAGGATGATTTCTGGAAAGTTTCATTCCTTTATTTCATTTCATGGCATCAAATGTAGATCATGTCATTATTACTCATTATAACCAACTGTCTCAATATGCTCAGATGGAGCAATCATTCACAAGGCTTACTCTTTTCCCTACAACTTCCATCTATGTGCATTCCTCTACCAGCTTTCAAAAGCCGTATCTGTTAGGAATAACTGTCCATTTTCTGCTTTAGTGTCATCTCCATGCTCTCATGCTGCCCTGCAAGTCAAAAAGCACTGCAGCCCGAGGAATGAGTCAGTCTTTCAAGGTAATGTGCACACTGTGCAGACCTCTCAGCTGGCAAAATTGAACTGCAATGCAGCAGCACCGGAACGCTAATGTAGTGTTTTTGGACTCCATACTATTGTAGGAGCTTCAAGGCCTATTCAGTACAACAGATGATATGACATGTGAGCTCTTTCATCTGCAGAGAACAATTTTGCTGTCCAGTTGATTCAGGGACTCCAAACCTTTCAAAGCTGTTTTTTCCCTGAGCTGTTTCTGTAAAAACAGTCCATTGGTCAGTCTCAATGTGGACAGTTTCTGTTAGGCAGCAGGACTTTCTGTCTGGAGTGTTTTTGAAGTTGGCAAGCTGCTGCGTCCTGACAGGATTTAGGCGGAGGTGAGAGTGGACAGGCCTGTCTGCTGTAAGTCATAACACGCTGGCAGCAACTGAGAGCTTTACCTTTACAACTGTCAGTGTTGTCTGGCAACTTAGGTGTTGTTACATCGCAGCCAGATATTAAACCATTGACAAGATGAGCTCAAATGATGGATGAAATGTCAGAGGCACTGGGATGGATGAAGAGAGAAACAAGCTACGACAAGAAATAAAAGGGGAAGTGACAGACGGTGGAAGTGCAGAAGTATTAAAGCATTATTCCACCAAAAATATAGCTTCTGAGTATCAACTACACAACTCCTGCAGGCTTGAAATGTGGCTCTGAAAGTTTTACAGCTTGTTCCTTTGCAAAGTGGTGTAGTAAATTGGATTAACAGCAGCTACGACAAATTACAATGGACTCGTGACAAAACTACAATTATCACTTTGTGGTTGTATGCCTCCGCGAGTCAAGTCACACTTCCACTTTACATCTATGTCTATGAAAACACAGATATTTCACACACATCTTCCCCCGGCAGCACAGAAGATCTATACAATCAGCACAGTTTCAGCGTGGGCACCCACAATTAGTGTTAACAATTCAGTATCTGACCAAATGTCTCCCCTTCTGTTGCTAGATATAACATTGAGTAATGGCCAGAAAAGTGTTCTTGCAGAAAATTATGATGTCACAGTGAAGTTGGCCTTTGACCTTTTGGATATAAAATGTCATCACTGTATCATCATATCCTATTTGACATTTGTGTGACATTTTGTCATAATTAGCATATCAGTTCTTGAGTTATGGCCTAAAACATGTTATATATAAAGTCACAGTGACCTCTGACCTCTAAATTCTAAACAGCTCATCCTTTAGTCTAAGTGGACATTTGTACCAAATTTGAGGAAACTCCCTCAAGGCTTTCTTGAGATATTGCGTTCACAAGAATGAAATGGATGTAAGGTCACAGTGACCTTCAGCCTTTGACCTCCATGATCGAATCAGTGCATAGTTGAGTCCAAGTGGATGTTTGTGCCATATTTGAAAAAAAAATTCCCTCAAGGTTTTCTTGAGATATCGCTTTTACAAGAATGAGACAGACGAGGTCACAGTGGCCTTGACCTTTGACCACCATCTAATCAGTTCATTGTTGAGTGCAAGTGGACATTGGTGCCAAGGTGTTCCTGAAATATCCTGCTTACAAGAATGGGACGCAGAACCCGAAAAACATAACTCCTCCACTGAGGCATAATGGGGGGTCAGGATTTATTAAAACGTCCAAAGTTCTACAACATAATTATCTTTACCACTATTGATCCATATGGTCAGAGTTAGGGCTAAGTAGTATTTTAAAACTTACAATACCAGTGCCAATACCACCACCCTTATAGTGACACTGATACCAATAGAGTACTTCATTTGTTTACTTTTTGGTGACATCTTGGAATGCTTAACTGCCAAGTCCATCAAATACACTGCACTCGACTTCCCCACACCACAGTCTGTACAGGTTGTAGCTGCTGTGGTAGCGGGCCAATCACACATCACATTAAACTGAGGAACACCTGCAGTGATTGGCTGTGAGCAAGACTATACAAATAATCACTTTCTCTAGACCTGTACAATAATAATGGAAAGCAGGTATTGTTTGACTGAAGAATGTTCAGTAGTACTTGGCACTGGGTTATTTTGGTCATTACCTTGAAGGCACTTAGCACCAATACACAGCCCAATCAGTGTGCTCTAGAGCAGTGGTTCCCAAAATGCTAAGGGGTCATAAGATGATTCTGAGGGTCTGTAAGTGGCGAGACAGAAAAAAAAACAAACATTTCAACTACACAAAAATGTATCTTTCTCAAATTCTTTTGTTTAATTGCTCACAAAATATGCCACTCAGGGTCAGACATGGACGCACATTGCATTCTTTTAGCGTCTGTATGAAATGCACCAAGCTTTCAACCAACTCTAATGTGAACCCATCCACGCCATTATTACATGCTCAGAGTGACTGAGAATGAAAGTCTGCTCAGAGCCAGTGGGAGGAGAGTTGGATGGATCCAACAAGCAGAGGTGATCCTAGACCCTGTCCTTACTGATGGTACCCAGGTGTTATAAGTTAGCTAAAAGGAAATTAACTCCACTTAGGGGTTTTTGGGGGTAGCAGCTGTGCACTGTATAGTGCCTTAATGGAAAGTTTATAGTGGTTAATAGTTGTCATTGCACAGCCAATTTTTTTTTTGCCTGGTTTGCCTCTTGACAGTGTGTCCCTGCCAGCAATACAGGACTTTGACCCAGGAGAACAGTGTTCATGGCTCGTATGAAACTAAAAGTTAATGTTGAGTAATTTTGTGACGTGAGTTGCTAGTCACCCGTGAGTCCATCATTAGTCATGTGAGTCATTTGTCATCTCAGTTGACTAACAAAACTACAAAACCACAATCTTTTTCTAACCCTAACTAAGTGCCTAAACCTAAACGCTGACACCCTGTGTCAAGATACAATGCAAATGGCCTCTTCTGTCCAAAATATGACGAGTGGGGATGAGTCATGACATTTGTTGCCTTACAAACAAATATGATTGATGTTTTGGAGCTACATAGTGGTAATAGTGTGACATAGTGTATTTCTGCTATGGTGAAACTATTAGTGCTTGAAACATAGTGAAGTTGCAGATCATTGATGGAGACATGGAAAAGTTGCTTTTAATGTTTTGATACACCAATTCATTGTAATCTATTATAACTGCCATGAATCCAAGCTACTACACTACTCTGCAAAGAAGGAAGCTACAGACTTTGAGGACAGCTTTTAAGCCTACAAGGAGCTAAATGTTTGATACTCAAAAGACAGATTTTCAGGTGTGTATTCCTTAAAGCAAAAAAAAAAGGAGGTGGGACAATTTTTGGATGGACACATGAGTCACAGAGGAGCTGTACGAAGGTGTAGCCCAGGGCAAGAAATGAGCAGTGGAAATGAGGCCAGCACCCACAGCAGGAGCACAAGACCTGCTGTGCCCCCACAGCTCGGACTGAGACTTAAGAGGATTAGTCTTGTGGTGCCAGTGTGTGTGTGTTTGTGCATTTAACAGAGTGGGCATTGGGTAGCATCATCTCCTTTGCACTGGCCTGCATTTTGCCATCAGCCAGAATATCCATCAAATAAAGCAGTCATCCAGACGCTGATACGGATGTGTACATCTCACCAAGATGAAGACAAATCAGCTGCTGCTTTGTTTGTAAAATTAGGCTGGCATCTGAGTTTATCTTGACAATCTACTCCCACTCACAGGCAGGTTTATTACCGCAGGATGTCTAGCCTCGATTTCAGCAATCTGATCAGCCATTTGCCCTTTACCGCTGAGACGGCAGGAGGATTAGAAGTACCTTTGTGGGTTCACGCTCTGATTCTGCATTCTTGAGTTTCCCTTCCATTCTCTGCTACTCCAAGTGGCTCTGACAAGCACAGAGAGTCCAGTCATCTTATCCCTGAACGGCCAGAGCTGACGTCATGTGCACAGGAAGCGTGCGATCCCAGACGTTCTTGGCTAATTACTACAATTTGCAGATGGGGTTGTGTCCCCTGAGATGGCAGAGAAGGAGAGAGAGACCCAGCGATTGACAGAGACACATTGAGGAGGAGTGATAGACACTGACAGAGACAGACAGAGACAGTACTTGGCTTGCCTGCTGACAAAAGGCTACAGAGCAGAGCCACAAATTGCATACAGTCATGAGAGGATTTGTAATGAGAGGCAGTATGTGACCAAACTGAACTCACACACACAACCACACACACACAGACAGACACACTCACACAGGAAGCCAGCAGAGATTGTTGGCATTCCACATTCATGGTGCAGGAACTGACCATTGGTGTACTGCACAAGCAAATGCCTTCAACAGCATATTAATCTGGCGACCTTTCCCCTGTTACCCCTTAAGATTTTCAACTTTATTGTTTCCTGTTTCCCAGCAGATGAACTCAACACAGTAGAGAGCAACCTGGGCCCCTCCCTGAGGTGGTTTAGCAGTGAAAACACAGACTGTGGAGATTAATTATCCTACGGTTTAGTGCTTTCTGCACTAAAGTGCTGCTAATTAAAACGTGGGAGTGTGTGCTTTCATATAGTTAGTTAGTGTGTATGTGTATGTCTTTATCTGAGTGTGCCTGTGTGTCTGAATTTACATCTGGGACCGGCATCTTACTGCAGAGATAATGCTTTTTTAAAATGTCTTTTAAAATCAAAAGCAGAGCATGGAGAGTGACTGATGCGTTGAGTTATTGATATTTTAGAAGGCAGTATTT